GGCATTCCTATCTCACTGCCCCTCAAAATATTCTGTTGTCACGTTGAAACATGATTCTGCAGGTGCCTTCATTCATGCACACCACCTCCATCCCATCATCACTTCCCCCATGGCTCTAGAAGCCATCTGTAAGTCAGATGTATAACCCATATAAGACAATACTGACACTCAGTCTTTATCTTGTTAATGAATGAGATATAAGGTAACATAGGAAGCAGCCAGGAGGCTGTATGAATGATTACGTGATTTAAAAACTCAAAATATCTTGGGTTTTTTTCTTTAACAGGGGCAGTTGTAGCTGGAGTTGTTGGGACCAAAATGCCACGGTATTGTTTATTTGGAGATACTGTGAACACAGCTTCCAGGATGGAATCTACCAGTGAAGGTAACAAGGAACAAACTGCAGATGTGGTTTTGACCATCCCTTAATGAGTTCTGAAAAAATGTTATGCTGACTTTGAGTCCTGTCCTGTTTAAATGACTGCACATCCTGTAAGGAGGGTGTTGATTTCTGTGTCCAATCTGCTTATGGGCAAATTATGCCAGTGATATTCTCTACAACCTTGTAACAAGATCCCCTCATTCCCCAAGTCTCTGAGAGGGATTTTCATGTTTTTGAAGTTCTCTGCAATAAAAAAGGGTAAGGTGAATGGATATGTTCACTGTTTCTATTCCTTCCTTCCTGGCACTCAGCTGAATTTATAGTAAAAATATTTTCATGATTCCTCTTTTTTGCTGATAACTTCCTCTAATGGAGAACACAAGAGATGGTGGGACACCACGGGAGCTGTGTCTGTCTTTAACCAGTATCGAAGATTATATATGTGTCCTCCAGCAAAGACATTAGACTGAAATCTCTAGAGATTGAATCATGGAGATATCCTCACTTTCACGTCTTCCCAGGAGATAAGAGAGCTCCATGTTTAGTTAGCAAGCTTTATCTTTAGCTAGTATAAGCATTTGAACCTCAACTTCTGAAATATTTTAGCCTGATCTACAAGAACTGGGGAAAAAAAAAAAAAATAGGGTGAGGGAGTAATTCAAGGTCAAACAACCGTGATGGCTTGTTTTTGTTTCTTTCATTCATGAAATGAAGCTGAATAGTTTTATGGCCCACATTGCAATGCTTTGTAAATGGATTTGAATCAGGCAAAATCCAAGGAGTTTTCTAGTTTAATTTCATGATAAAAAGTGATCCTTGCAACATCTAACATGATCAACTATAAACAAGGCAGAAAGGCAGAGAAGTGGTCTTACATGATGGCTTTGAAGGTTTAGCGTGGGGATTTGAGATCAACCAGGATCTGTTCCTTCTCACCATTATAAACATTTTTCCAAAGCAAATACTAGCCTGAGTGGAACACATATAACTTCATTTTCCTTCTGTCAGTCTCCCAGATAACTCCTTTCCTTCTCCTCCTCCTCTTTTCGGGCTCCTTGTATCATCTCATCTGAACTGCTTTAAAACTAATGCCTTCAAAATCTGCTACCATCATTCTTCGTATTTCATCTTTTGTTCTCTATGTCAGTCTATTTCTCACATGGCTCATCAACACTATAAACTTAAGTATAAAGACAGAGCTTCTTATGTTTTAAGCCTTTCTTTTATCTCCCTCTTTCTCTGGCCACCTACATCTAAGGATCTCAAATTATGTTAACGTGTTTTAACCCTAAAATGATCCCTTTAAAATAGATTAATTAATTACTAGCAATGTAAATTAAAATTGCTATCAGCTGAAATCTGAGTGCTAGTGTCTTGTTCCCAAGCAGGATGAGCAGTTAAAATATAATGCATCTACTGGAAAGAATATTTTAGAGATATGTAGCTGCATACGTTGAAACATATATTTTAGACTTCCTGGTCTACAGGGAGTGTTTTGAGATTTTCAGTAAAAAATATTTAAACAAACAAACAAAAAAGTGGATATTACAAAACCATTATTTTCTGATACAAGAAAAATCAATAAAACAATCTTAGCCAGTCCTACTATCATCTGGGATCTTTTTCAAACAAAGAAGCATAATGGTCTACTCTGCGTTGCAGATTGTTAAAAGCGAAAAAAAACCCAGGATTTTTTTGGCAATTTTCCAAATTTTGGCAAAATTTTGCTTTCTGGCAAAAGTGGGAGTATTCAGAATTTGTTCTATCTGTCCTCCTCCTTGGTCCTTCCTTCATCATTTGAAAAAGGCAAGACAGCCAGGGTTTACATGAAAATAAATCCTCAACTAAGGAAAAATCACATTGTTAAAAAAAACAATAGTGGAATTATGGTAATATGGTCTCTTCCCCCTGTTTTCATTTACAGGCTTGGAGGCAGACCAAGGATAGCAGTTTCTTTAATGTTTAGACTTCGCTGAAAACTGTATGTGCAAAGAAAGTACTGGCTCTTTATTGACCAGGAGGTAGAACTATGTATGGTTTTCTTTGCAAGATGAAAAGGGTGCTTGTCAGTAACTCCAGCCAGGCAGCTATGAAGAGTAGACAAATAATATTAGATGCAGGATGTGAAGAGTAATATTTGTTGACAGCCACATATTTGTCCTGAGATGCCCTCACAAAGAGGCCAGGATACTGAAGCTTGTGTGCAAACGTTTCAAATAACAGAGGAATGACAGCAAAGACGTGAAAAAAACAAGGGGGAGCTCATTAATGAGTCTTGAAGTCTTTGGCACACAGAGGGGAACGGGTCTGTCTTAGATGTTTAAATTGTTATGATAATATGACAATTGTCCCTCTTTCCAGCTCTTAAAATACAGTGCAGTTCAAGTGCATACCAGCTGTTGGAGCAGATTGGAGAGTATGTGTTAGTATGCCGTGGGAATTTGCAAGTCAAGGTGCGTACGCAACATTTATACTCAGCTTTTCAGAGAGGAGAGTGTGAAAGTACTCTGGAGTCCCTGAATTTTAACCCATGCATTCCTCTATGTCTCAGAGCCTTGGGTTAGCCTATTTCCTGTCCATGCAGAAAGGAGGCTCAAGTTTTAAACCAGGACCAATTCCATGGGCTTGTTCATGGGACAACCCCGATAATTCAGAGATAAAGGACTTAGCTAAACTTGGAAGTACTGCGAGGCACGTCACTTTGTCGTAATGGCTTGAAATCAAAAAAGGTAATTCAAAGACACCATAAATCATCGTAAGAGTGCCATAAGAGAACTAACATACTTCTGGACCCAGTTTTGGACTTCAAAGAATTATTTTAATCCATAGTGCTGCCACTATCTTTTAAGGAAAAGTTTTGTGCCTCAGTTTTCCTCTATGTAAAATGGCTGACAGGCACATCAGTCTCCTTTTGAGACTTGCTTTGAGTTGTAATAAGAAGATTATTACACAAATGATGGGTAGTATTATAACCCCATGACTCATTTTCTTCCTTAGGGGAAAGGGGACATGGTAACATACTGGCTTGAAGGTAAGAAAGCCTCTGCCACCCAGAAGGCAGTCACCAGCACTTCTGTGACTCTTCAAGACCCCAACAGAGCTTCGTTTAGTTTGATACCAGGTGTCCTTCCCAGTGATCCTCTCTCAAGTCCTGCTTACTAGCCACTCACTAACTATGCTCACTAAGCATCCATCCTGCTTTCAGTCTGTTAGGTCATCCTGCTAAAAAAAAGACAGTATGCCCATTTGGCCTTGTGGATATATTAGCTCAGACTTTATGCACAGGTATCTCTCTCCTACCAGTGGCAGAAAAAATACAAATCAGCAAAAACTCCTCTTGACAATGATACATAAGAGTGGCCCACTAGCTAGTAGGGCAGAAGGTAGCTCCCAGTGTTATTTGTTGATTTGGTTTTGCAGGGTAATCCCCTGCCAGCAGCCTCCATCACTTCAAAACCAACTGGCTGGACATTCCAACCTGTAAGATGCTCCCACAGGAAAGAAGAAACAGTGTAGTGTTGCTATTCAGTGTATGATAAACCTTGTGGGTGTAAAAGGGAAGAATGAAATGTGTATTGTGTTAGAAAGCAAGACCCATTGAAAGAGGAGGATGAAGCAGTACAATTATAGTGGATACAAATCAAAATGAGAATTTGTGCTCCTGCTTCCGTTTTGTCTTCATTGCCTGGAGCATAGAAAGAAGAATTAAGAAGAAAGTCCAGCATATTTCCATAGAGTCGACACTTAGTGGTACCTGCCATCTTGGTACAGAGATCTGAAAATCTTGGGAAAGACATTGCATCTGTTCTTAAACAAAAGAGGGTCCATTACAGCTGCTCTTGTCTTTGGCTGCTCTGGGATTTCTCTGAAAAACTGCTCTTAATACTAGCTTGTATTATGGAGTTGCTTTGACTAAAATGGCGGTGAACCTACTACTGCGCGCTAGCTATCTGACTGTGAAATCAGGCAGCCCTCTGAGTCACTGTGTAATTTAGGACACAGTTTAGTCATTCCTGAGCAAGCATTTCCTGTAAAGAGAGACCCGTCACTACAAGTGGAGTAATCTGTTGATGAGCATGGTTCAGTAAGCATTGCCTGGTGTTGATTTTCTTTAAAGACAAAACATATGTATGGTAGACCCTGTTTATGCTTTTTAAGGTTTTATTTATGGTAATAAATTACCTTTCAGGGCTAATCTATTTCAAAGAGTTTAGCCAATCCGGTTGAACTGATTAACAGTCTAACAGAATTAGAGGAAGAAAGGATACCAAGAGTCACAGCAGTTCCACCATAATGTGAACTGGACTGGCCAAAGCTAGCTGAGAGGAGGTGAAAAGGAAGGACTATGAGTGACATAGCACCATTTACTCCTCCTTATTCTGCTCCCTTTTACCCTCCAGCCTGTCCCCTAGGTACAAGTACAAGTATAAAAACCCACATGTAGATGCAATTTTTCTGGTATAAATTTATGTAGCTTCAACAAGCAACTGACTAGTTGTTCATGTTCCCATGTAGCTAGCATAGTTCTAATTCTGAATATGAGCTGTGTGATAGTAATAGGAGAGTCACACTACAGTCCTTCTTCAGCTTCTGTGGGAAGTAAATGCAGTGGTAACGTTAGATTTTTCAGAGATGCCTAACAGAGGTAGAAAGCTAAATCCTTCTGAATTATGGAAGACTTATTTGAAATCCACAGAATAATATATAACATTGTGAGTGAAATTCCGTCTCAGAAGTCTGTAGGTATACTGCCACTTGAATGGGATCAGAATTTCAGCAAGGGACATACACATAGCTGATCTTGTCACATGAGATCCCAACATAAAGTTCAGCCAAATTTTTATAGTTTTTTTCCTACACTTAAAAGATTCCTTTCTCTCTTTTTTAATTTCATATTAGTACATGGTACAATACAGTTAGCCTATTCATAATTTTATCAAAATAAACCTTTCAGTTATCCAGAACCCAGAGATGTCCTTTAATACAACCATTTCCTTTATCCAAATGCTACCTAGATATTGTGAAACTCTCTGCTCTATTGTAGTGCTGCATGATGTATAATATAGTTTACGTTATTCTTTTAATGAGTTAGCATTTTTTACATTTTTATTAGAAAGGTCTTTTATCAAATGTGAATGTGAAAGCATGTTCTTTGTTAATCTGTAGCAGTACTTCAGCTTTAACTCTTCTGCTTTATGTTAGCGTTGTTTTTAGAATTAAAAGCTTTAAAATGAGTGTCTTCTGAGTTTAAAGTCTTCTAAATAGAAATGATTGATGAGTGACCATTAGCAAGCTTGTTGGATTGACAGCATTCACCACTGACATGTCCTTGGGTAGTATTCAAATTCTGCTGAAGATAGTAGAAAGACTCTTGCTGACTTCAAGAGGCTTAGAGTCTGGTGATTATCTACAAAATACAGTTACAGTTTGAAGAACACCAGTGTCAGCCTACCTTTCTGTTTTGTTGTTGTCTCTTGATCCTCTCCTCAAACAGAGCATCTCCAGAATGAGAACTAGATTATTTTCTAAGGACCGTTAAATCTCTGGTGTCTCTGCTGGGACTTCAAGCAGTAGTCCTTATTAATGTCAGTTTTTCTGATGACTGTGATGATACGACTGTTCTTCCTCCAGAAGATAGAAGTACAGGGTAATGAACGTTATAGATGCAAATGGAAGTATCCTCTGTCAACTGGCAAGTATTTAAGATTTATCTCAGGCATTTTGACAGGTGTAGTCAATGGCTACAGCCATATTTCATTGTCAACTACCGAAGCAATAGGCAAGTTTCAGGAACATGAACTCTGTTTGGTTACACAGATTTTTACTAGAAGTTAGATGCAATGCAGCAATCATTAGAAATTGTATGACACAGCAAATTCAGCAAAGGTGGTTGCAGCATAAAGCCTGTGAGACGCGCCTTACTTTTACCTCCTGGGGATGGCATAGCTGCAGAGATCATTTTCTTCTGTATTGTTGTGGCCACACAGGCACACGTGCATATATATAAGAATACAGGCATATATATAAAAGAATATATATACAAAATGTATATGATGTATAGAGAATTATATATTCATACGTATGTAAAACATGTCTGGCTATAAATAATAAAAACTGTATATGGAGAGGTTAGTGCAAATCAATAGTCAGTATAAGGACACAAAATTGTTGACAATTGCTGCTTCAGGTTTGAACTCTGCAAGCATCTCAGTTTTTGAACCCACCAAGGGAACACAGAGTGGTGCTCTGCACAGAACTTCATGTACAAGAGCAGGTGGTCTTTATAGCACCTGCAAAACAAAACGGTCTCCTATTTCACCACTCTAAATCTATATCCTTGTATGGGGCGGCACTTGTGACTGATGTTTCTGCAAATTCAGTTCTCGACAGAGTTCTGTTATAGCTCCTGGTATCTCTCACTGCCCAGGAAACATAGCAAGGAAGCTTGTGGCTCACGCTGTAGCTGCTGACTAAAGCCCTGCTGACCTTGGCAATGCAGGAAAGCATTTACCAGCTGGTAAAGCTGAAATATGATAACCAGCATGGTGCTCATGGTTAGATGCTTTAAATCCACAGAGATTCACATCCCAGATGTGGAGTTAGTCAGCTAATCTAGCAAGTATTCTTTTCTAAAATGACACTCTATACAGATAAATATGTGACGAGTTCCTCCTTTCCCAGGAGATTATATCCCTACCAGAAAATGGGAAAGCAATTGTAATGATAGAGCTGAAGAACTGAAGGTAATATGTACCTTTATAATCACTTCAGTTCTTCACTCAGTGGCCATCCATTGTCTATGGTCATGCAAAATAATGCAGAGGATACTAATACTGTATTCATGATGTGGTGATTTTATGGAAAGATTGTGCATTTTGATTACTGTTTATTGCAGCTCCATCTACATACAGGGGAGGGTGCAGGCAGGTACATTAAATAAATCACACAACGCAAAAACTGACTTATGAAAGTCTTTAATTAGATCGATAAACCTTCACTATATTATTTCAGTTTGAATGTTGAAGAGTAGATTGAATAATGACAATATTTTAAAAAATCTCAACAAGTAAAAAAACGGTTAATGTATTTCCAGATGTAAAACTTCCTAGATTTTATTCAAACCATTGGCATTGGAAAAAGACTGTGTTTTGCCACCGAAAATTTAGTCTTTATCCCCTAGATTAGGTAGCAAACATCTTTTATTTATCTTGTTATCGATATGTGCAGAGGGTCTCCAGTTCCATGGTTCTTTCTGTGTAAACAGAAAAGTTATCTGCTTCTTCCTACAGCTAATTAGTCAAACCAGAAAAATGAATTTATTTAAAGAAAAGTGGAATGAAATCAGGTGTTCTTTGCAAACAGTGCAAGGGCATAGTATGAGTGTTGAGCCTGACTGCAAGCCTCCTAATCAGAGGACGCAAGGTCTCTTGAAGATCTATGGCTGAAGAAGAGATTGGTATGAGGTTCCCCAGCATGTAGAACATCTCTCTCTCCCACCCCACTCACACCCCCAAAAGTTATTAATAGCCCTTCCATCTGAATTGACCTCAATGGTAAGAGTCATTGGTTTTTTAAGAGTGTCATTCTGGGGCTGTCCTTTCAGACCAGTAAAAAGACAAGGCTATGCAAGATTATTCTGATTATTCTCCAGGTGGCCACCATCTGCTTTTCACCTAATGAGTAGTCTGTCCTCCTAATTCCTGTCTGAATTTTCCCCTACTTCGTACCAGTCAGTATAAAACATTGGATTGTACACTATTACACTCTCAATTGAAATTCAAAGATAAAATCATTTGCCATCCAATGTTCTCTCCAAAGAAAATAGGGGAAAATTCCCTCTCCTCCTAATTTAAAATTTGCTAAAATGCACTTTCTGATGCAGAGATAGATATAGAACAACCAGTTTGAAATGTGAGAGAGTGGGTTTTGTAGAATTTGTTTGTGTGGGAACCCTAATGACTGAAACCTTCCATTGAGCATGCATGAGTCTACATGCTGTCATTTAGTGTCCCATAGTATACTAAGCACAGTCCTCTGGTTCAGACAGGAAACCAAGCTACCCCATCTTCTGTATTTTTACCTCACCTTTCCACTGCACTAGGTCTTAAGTGCGTTTTGGAACTAACTTCTAGTGCTGAATTAACAGTTTTCATACAGTACTA